CTGAGGATCCATGCCATCACACGCGTTCCTTTGTAAAGGCTACTGTATCGATGTAGAGGGAATTGTTCAATGCCCTCACTTTCTGCTGTAAAGGCTGATATGGAACCTATCACGTCCATAGTTTGATCTGAGGTGCTAGGATCCGTTATTCGGAAGAGTGATGATTGCCAGGTAGAAGCGTCTTGTTGCAAAAATTCTGGTCCACTCCACCACATGCTTGCTTCTAGCTGATCTTTGGAGAGTCCTCTAGTGCCTGCGTCTGCAGGGTTGGTTGCTGTCGGTACATAACCGTAATGTACTGTCGTTCCTATTTCGTCCAAGGCAGATATTATTTCTCGAATCTCTCTGATTCGGTTACGAATTAGAACTCCCCGATCGGATTTTCCGGGTGAGCTTTCTAGCCAACTGAGTACAATTTGAGAATCCGTGAAAATGAACACGTTTCTGATGGGTCCAGTAGAGTGATGCAATGCTTTGCAGATGGATCGTGCTAGTCTTGTAGCCATTGTTACGGCATTCATTTCTAACTTTGGTATTGTCATTTTAGATTTTATGGACGGCAGTTTTGATTTTGCCATCAGCAATGAGGATTTTCCATCGCCAAAGGCGTAAGCACATGCTGCCATTGCATTCTCACTCGCATCAGCAAAGATCGCTATCTCGAAAGTTCTTTGCAGAATTTTCCGACGAACGGATCTTTGAAATCCACTAGAATTCTCTCGTATTTTCGCCCACGAGTTGCTCAAGGTTTGCGACAGTTCTTGGTCCCAGCCGTAGCCGTCCAACCATAGCTTCTGTTGGAAAAGTTTATGTGGAATTAGAAGGGGGACCATCCATCCTAGCGGATCGTAAATGGAGGAGATTTGTTGAGCAACGACTCGCTTAGTGATTTTCGGAGCATCCGGGATCCTGCATTGTACAGATAGTGTATCTTGTTGCGAGTCCCAGACAAGTCCTAGTACTTTTTGTTTTGTCGTCTTCGAGCGTATTTCGGGTTGAAATCGTTCTTGCACGCTGAGATCGTTCGTTAGAAATTCGCGTAAGTTCATGTTCATTTGCTGGAAAATACTTCTTGCTGTGAGAGATTTGTTCAAAATCTCATCACTGCTGTCTCCCGCGAGAATGAGGTTGTCCACATATAGATTCTCGCTGATTTCTGTGGCCAGAACGGGATCCTTCACTTCGTTTTCAATATGGTACTGGATGGTAGCGGCTAGCAAGAATGGAGAGACATTCAAACCGAATGTGACCCTGGTGAATCGGTATGTAACAATATTGGTCGGTTCAGGACCTTTCGCTAGATCTTCTTATCCACAGACACCTGGTCATGTCTCTGTCGCATTCGTTTAGTCGCACCTGCAAGAAGGCCTTTTCTACGTCGGAGATCGCAACGTATGGCTTTATCCGGAACCTCAAGAGCATCCCGAAGAGCTCAGGGAGAATTAAAGGACCTTGATGGAGCAGGTCATTGAGTGATGGACATCCTTTGAGATGAGATGAGGCGTCATATACAATTCTTAGTTTCGTAGTCTCCTTCAATGGTGTTATTACTGGTTGATGCGGGAGATAATGAACCATTTGTAAGTTTCCCTTTTCTGGATCCTTCACCTCTTCGATGATACCTTTGTGAAGTTGTTCTTGAAAGATCGCATCGTATTGTCGAAGGAGTTCAGGGTTAGCTTCCAAGGTGTTCAGAACACTGAGAAGACGGCGATATGCTAATGTTTTATTTGACGGTAATGAACTTGTCTTCCTTGAATGGCAGGCGAACGTAGTATCCGTCTTCCCTTTTTTCTATAGTCTCATTGAAAAACTGTCGCACTTTCGCGTTGACTTGCAGTTTTTCACTATATCTTGCTCCAGTGAACTCTTCAATACCAGAAGAATCTAAGGACCAATAACGATCCCACTGCTCTACCTCATCAGCTTCCAACGTGCTGATTCTTGTATCAGCTGTACAGTCTTTTTGTAGAAGTTTATCCTTCTTACTGTATTGAGGTCCACTCAGCAGATATCCCAAGAGTGACGGAATCGCGTGAAGACCTGATGGAAGGATATGTTGTGGACTTGAAGAGTTCAACAGGGGCCAAAGGTGGTCACAGCCTATGAGGACTTTAGGACTGACAGTGCCACACTTTGTTTTGAAAGGAGAATTTTCTTCTCTCGTAGATAGTGAGCATCTTGCTCAGTAAGACAGACTCGTTTTCTCTTCCCCGTTATTACTTTTGTTTTACACAGGGAGAGTTCATGAGGGTTGCCTTGCAAATCCCAAATTCGCAGTTTAGTAGTCTCATACATTTGGCGCTTTGGTGTTTTCGATCCGAATGTATAGACTGATAGATCTATTTTACCCAATGTAGGGAGTTGGAGTTCATCGGCTAGTTGCTGATCTATGAAAGACTTATCGGCTCCTGTGTCGAGGAGGCATTCGATTTCGCGCACCTCGTTTGTTTTTTCGTTTCGCACTGTCGCTAGGCCTGTAAGTAAGAGCGCGCTTGTGCTGTGCTCTACTACCTCATCGTTCGTTGTGTAGAGTGTGGAAGTTTCTTCTTCTTCCTCGGATGAGCTGCCTAGTTTATCTTCAGGAGCAGTGCAATTTTGTGTATGAACTGACCTCTTGAGAGGTTCTTTTGCCGTTTTCGAGTTATGCATCTGGCCTGGTTGTAAGCCCTTCTTGTTGAAAGTGGTTGCTTTACCATTCTTTTCACTTTGTCTCTTTCGGACAGATGGAAAAGTGGTGTTTCTTTCCGTCGCATGAGCTGCACCCTTTGCTAGTGCAGTCTTTGAGAATGTGGTTAGCCCTTGCACAATTTAGGCATCTTTTTTCTTTGATCAGGAAGTCGCTTCTGTCCTTTATTGAGCTGATCTTCCTACAGTCATGGGAGAAATGATTACTCAAATTGCAATAAAGGCATTGATGTTGGCGTGCAGGTGGAGACTGGCTGGGTTTTTCCCATACCCTTTCATTATTTTTGTTTTGGAATGTCTCGTTATTCTGGAGCATTCCCTTTATTTTTTCTTCAGTCGCAATAATCGAATCTAGTTCGGTAAGAAGGGTTCTCATTGACCAATCTTCTTCCGCTTGATTCGCACCTATGCGCTGCATGAGTACCTTTCTCTGAAGGTCTTGTTGAAATTTGGACAGTATCTTCTGCCCAATGAAGGAACCATTCAAATTGATTCCCTTATATTCCAACTGAGTGGATAGTGATATGATATAATCTAAGAGCTTTCTCTGGTCCTCTATGCTGGAACCTCTTGCTCTTGCTCTTTCTAGTCTCCCCTGCAAATGATTTACTAGCTTCGATTTGTCGCCAAATTTTGCTTTTATAGCCTTGATGGCTTCTTCGTAGTTCTCTTCTGTGACTGGGTATCTTCTAACCACTTCTCGTGCTTCGCCTTTAAGGCTCTGTAGAAGGTAGTTGAACTTCTGTAGATTTGAGAGCCTTTGATTGTGGACATTTGCGCAAAAGAGCGCCCAAAAATTCTCGAAGTCTCCGATTTTCCCTGAGAAAGTGGGGATCGGTATTGCCGGTAGTTCCACTTTCGCACAAGGTATCTCTATTTGAGGTGTATCTCGGGCTAAGGTAGGCTGTTGTAGTCCCGCTTTCTTTCCTTCTATTTTGATGCTCAGAATTTGGGCCTGTTCAAGTGCTTCTTCGGTCCTGGTGATGTAGTCCTCGATCTGGTTCTTCTGCTCCTCGGACTGCTGATCATCCATACTGTCGACCATCAATGTGAATTTCTGGAGTGTTTCTTCCACGAGGCTGGAGGTTCTGTCGAGTTCTGCTGAGATTTCACATAGTTTCTGTAGGGATTGTTCCCCTTTGGCCCTTTCTTGATATTTGGCAACTAGCTGGTTCAATACGTTTGTGTATCTCGTTAACAACCCCTTTTGCGATGTTAACTGTGTTTGTTTGCTCATTGTTTAAATCAGAAATTTTGAACGTTATCAATACTCCTACTTCGCTTCAAAACTTCGCAAAGAAAATGGAAACAGGAAAAAGAGAAACTCGCAAAAAGTTGTAATCGCAATAAGAAGTGAATGAGATGAAATAAAATTGCTTTCGCTTCAATCGCCAAATCAGAAAAGGCTATCAAAGCGTACCTCGCGTCCAGGTTCTTCAGGCTGACCGATGCACCATAAAAAGGTTGGTTCAGTGTGTGATGAGCAAAGCGAGACAACACCTCAAACTTGGGTAATTAAACTTTAATACACGATTATGTAGTAACATCATCATAACGGATAAGATCTTCTTAATGTACTCGATAACCTGAGATATAAAATATGCAGAAATGAGGTGAAAACGGAAAAGATCTTCTAAAGCAACTTCATAACCTGAGATATGCATAAATGAGCAACATAACAACCATAAATGAAGTTAACAAAGTAACAGCTAAGCGACACGGCATAGTCGTAAGGACAACAAGGAATAACCAAAACAACAAAAGTGAATTCCAGAGTAATATCGAGAAAGAATAGCAATACATACGCTGTAAATGAGATGGAGAGGAGAATATTAATTGACTTCGCATTATCGCCTTAAAGGAACACGTCAGGAATCAAATGATCTGGAGAGCTTTTGGTCGCTATCGCTACTTCGCAAAGAGATCGATACTAGATTCTGAGGAGAGAAGCAGAAGAAAGCAAGAAAGTGCAAACTGAGAGCAGCTGGACTGCTCCCGCTATTTATAGCCCGTTTTGGCGCGCTCCCGCGCGATCGCGAGGATTTGATCCGCGCCTATTGATCTGTGATCGGAGAATCGCGGGTTTCCGCGATACTCCCTCCCATTATTTTTATTGTTCACAATCGCTGTGGTATACTCGGTCGTCGTTTCGTCCCTATCTCTCTTGACATTCGGAGTCTCTTTACTGTATACATTTACAATGTTTGAAAGGATTAACTATGAAGTTTGGATTCTCTGCTTCTGCCCTTGGAAGTGGACATTAGCATCGTCAGGTGCGCGCGCGACAAACTGCAAGTGCCGCATGCTTTCACAACGTCGTTCTATCAGTATCCTTGTTGTAGGATTGTTGCAATTTCTTTTTAGGGGAAGGAAACCGTCGCTAGCTTCGGACTTCCTTTCTTTTATGGTAAAAGGGCTTTTATATTTCATACTCTTATATTCTTTTATATTTTTATTAGAATCATTAAAGACTACATATAGTAACAAGAAACTTCCCAAACTTATCGATTACGAAAATCATGAACGCGATGGTGTCAGACAATAGGATTGACTGGAGCGGTGTCCAGGTTAACATAGAAGAAACCTGGCCAACCAGTGCTGCAAATGTACGCCACGATTGCTAAGAGGCGGTGATTGTAGTTCTGCCGCTTCTGATGAATCAGTACGTAGTTTGCAGTCGTACGCATTCTTAGGAGTAAATACTCGACTCAGGGTTACAAGCATGGGGACTTTGTGTCAAATGGCGGTGTGGGTACGACCCCCCCCTCGAAGAGGGTCCAGACACGACCCCCCCCCCCTCCTGCTCTAACTGACAACCAGATGCATGTTCACCACAAATGACTTCCTGAAATGGAATCTGGATTCTCGAAAGAAAAAAAAAATACAGAAAGGCGCACTCTGCTCTAAAATACAGGAAATAAAAGGCTGTTTCAGCCTCATGCAATATGAGGCTGAACAACAGCCTCGCATTACCTACAATTTTCTTCATCTGCTCTTTAGGATTCAAAATAAAACTCCTCGTTCGATAACTATGTATGACATGCAACTTGTAAAAGAAACACAATTGAAATAGCGGCTAATGGTGATCATTGATAGGCTGAATTGGTGAAAAAATAGCCCCAAGGTGAGCGTGTCAGGGCCCAGATGTGCATTCAATGAATGGTGACGGGGAAATAATGAAAACATGCACGACACAACAAAGCGAAACATGGAAAATACAAAAAATGCAGAGCTAAATGAAAAAGGATAACCAGGCCGGCAGTAAATCGTTCCATACTTGGCTATTATCGATCAGGCTGCAGGGCGCAAGGCTGCGACCGCTTTCTTTGGAAAAACGTCATTGGAGCGCGGTTGTTGGACTTGCCAACGTCCTGGGGTCTGTTCGGGGGGTTATATCTTTTTTAGGTGCGGAGCTTTTGAGGAATGGTGAGCAGCATGCAACGGCAAAGTTTCTACTGTTGTGTATTCTACCTAGTTGCAAACTGAACAATCCCCCGTTGGTGAAATATTCCGGATGGGTTTTGGATAGGCTAGGGGTAAATCGCGAGCTGGTTTCCATGCTTCACGCGAGGATTGCTTCGTTCAAACGCAATTTCATCAGGATTAAAAACGTCCTGAAACCCCTCCATCCTTTCTCTTTCCAACAAGCTTCACGGTTTTTCTGAAGACCCACTAGTTCAGGAGATATTTTAGATGGGTTACCTTGCTGCGCTACCCCCTTGCGACCACCCGAAAAATTGACTCCTTATGTGCCATTGTGAGGATACACCTTTCAGTGTGCCTCCAAAATACATATTTCCCTTCAAATGAGTGGAAGAGGAGCTCGGCTATCACTAATCGGTTTGGTCCGTGCGCCGTGCATTAGGCTCCTACGGAGAGGTGGTGGAAAGGTGTAAATTCTGATTTCAGGTGCTTTTATCCATGCAAGCAGATGTTTGTTTAGGGTTTGTAAAGGACAACACGCACGAATCTGTTTGAGACGTATTATTTAGTCATCTACGTACTTACGAGTTCATGCTATAAACTGACACTTATTTATTTATTTATTTATTATTCTTGCTATATTGCTAATAAATCTTTTATTATTTTGTATTCCTATTTACATCCGGGTCTTCTGAAGCTTTCCGTTCCATTACCCTTAGCAATGACACCTTTGTACTGTTTGATGCCTAGCGAGCCTACTTTTGCGATACTCCCCACGTCCCCGCGGCCAAGTACGAACCCATTCTTGGGGATTTCCCATGAAAAGAGGGCTGTTAAACGTAGCATTTAAAGCTGTAAAGAATACACTCATAATAAACTTCATTTTTTTTAACATCTTGACTTCCATAGCTCCACTCCCACTATCAACTGAAATGTCGAAGCATTGCTCGGCTCTGAGTGACCCTTGAGATTACGACCCCCCCCCTCCCCAGCGGCCAAGTACGACCCCCCTATGGGTTTCGCACAACGATGCTGTACCTGTACTGCGCACCCATGCTTT